AAATGTCGTGCGTTGGGGGGGGGGGGGGGGGGTGTTGTGTCACAGCGTTGAAAAGCCTTTAGTGTGGCAAGTTCATGAATTTCCTTTTTTGGTGGAGGAGTTTGCTCCGCGCTTCGACCGAGGCGCATCTCACTGATCTTTATCGCTGGAGAGACCTACGCCGCAGCGCTGCTCGTCTCTTAAAAGCCCAGCGCGGCCATCGCATCCTGCTGGATCTTAAATGCCTGAAGGTGACATGTGTTTTCCCGTCCGTGTTGGACGTAACACGGTTCTAATAAAGAATTTTCCTACCTTGTAATAAAGAGAATTTTGCCATAGTTTAGACTGAAGGATACGTCTCATCGTGGCACAGCCAAGTACAGCAAGCCAGGGAGTTGCCCAAAATTCAAGACAGACTTTATCACGATAGGAAGCACCTCCCAGACCCACGGGATATTTTATCAAGACCTTCCCCCTCCCCCCCCCCCCGCCCAGGCAAAGAGGACGGCGTTCGGTCTGGTTCCTACCTCCTTGTTCTGCTGCGTTTGCTGCCAACGCCACCTCCGCTTCAGGGCTTCCCTTTCCACGCCTTTGTCCATCAAGGTGTAAAGGGATTTGCGAAGCATGAGGTCCCGATCGTGGAACCCCCACATACCTGCGCAGGGGGGGAAAAGAAACAGCGGCAGAGGATTAGCAGCAGCTGGCATCGCTCCGTCCATCCGCCGAGGTCCGACAACCTGCCACGAACCAGGGGAAGCGGGTAAATTGGGAAACAGGGGCAGAGGAATGCAAGTTCCTCAATCCAAATAACAGAATGCCTGGTTCAAAGCCTGCATTTTCCACCTGCAGCGAGTTTTCATGCAGCTAAATGGAGATGCTGACACCTCTGCTTTCAACTCTAGGGCACCTCACAGATGCAGCCAAGTATTTGTTCACAAAAATCACACGCTCCTTTACATCAACTCGTCAACTCGTCTGATGGGAAAACGAGACCGGGTTAAAATGAGACTGTGGTTTCGCCATGTCTGAAATACAGACACGAAGGAAATGCGCAGCCCTGCTGATTTAAAAGTCTGGAAACCTCCGAAGTTTTACCACGGTCACACTTGACAAGACGAAATCAAATCTGGACTCTTGAAACGTCAGCGTGCGAAAGGAGGGAAGGGGCGGCTCTGTCATTCCACATTTCCCTCAGAAATACAGGGAAACTCGCCAAATGGACGGGGAGGGGTATTTTAGAAGTACACAAGCTCTTGGCAGCCTGTTTCCTTCAACCCATTCCTCTCCCGCAGAGCCTGAGCGTCGCGACCGCTCGCACGCCTACCGCCGCGGCGGCCGGGATGAGCAGCAGCATCCCCGTTTCCCCACGGGAACGGATGGGAAACGCTCGGGTCCCGCTCCCAAAGGATGGTCCCGGGCTCTCTCCCCCCAGCACAGCCGCTTACCCCAGCCTCAGCCAGAGAAGGGAGGCGACACCAGCACGATGCACGTTACCGGGTCTGACGCGAACCAGTTTGTTATTTCGCCTGCCGTAAATTAAGTCAAGCTCTTACCCAGGGAGGCGGCATGGAGCAGGCAGTTCCCGTCGCCCGTGGTGGCCAGGGGGAGCAGCCTTTGGCAGCTGGGATCCACGTTCGCCCACCAGTTCAGACGACCTGCGGGAATATTTGAGAGCCTGAAAACGGGGCCCGTTACACAACGTGGGACTGGTGCGTTCATCCCCTCAAAAAAAAACCCACCAAACCACGCCGCCGAGGACGGGAGCCTGCTTTGATTTGCGGGGGGGAACACCCAAAGAGATGAGCAGTTATAGACCCGGCTCGTGGCTGGAGGAAGGAAGGAGTCAGGACGGTAACAAGGCAACAAGAAGGGGAGACCGGAGTTACAACCACCTCACGGGGACGCAGGGAAACGGCCAGGCTGATCTTAAGGTCATACAAATCAGAATTAAGGCTGGAAATAGGAGCCAGCCCAGCCAGGCCTTTAACCCAGGCCAGCGTTCTCCTCCTACCCGGTTCTCCCCCCACCCCTACTTGTCTCAAAACCCCGAAAAGCCGTCAGCCTGAAAACCCCTCCTCAAGTGCCCGTCGCAAACGGCGCCCAACAACTTTTCCAGTTAACAACCGCTTTTCGTTTCTTCTTGTAACCAAACCGCTCCTCTTTAAACCATCTCACGTCGGTCTTTTTTTCTTTTTTTTTTGTCCCCGCTCACTGGTTTCGGTACAATACTCAGGAACTTTTGCTGATCCCAGCAGCTTTACCACTGAAAATGCAAACTGACAGTGCTTTACGCCATTTAAAAATAGCAGCTTTTTGGTAATATAAGGCACTTGGAGTAATTCAAGTCAAGAGCATCTAAAAATAGAAGCTAGGAAAAAATTAACATACACGCCGCAGTCAAGTACAGTGCGACTGGAGGTTAAACATTTGTCAAGGAAACGAAGTTGGGCTGAATTAGGACTTTGAACTTGCAACCCAGCCCGCGCCTCGCTCGGCTGTGCCCTCAAAAAACAGGCGCTGCCTCCCTTGGCTGCGACTTTTTCCGGGAGCTTTTCTGCAGCGGATCCCGTGCAACGGGCGGTTTTTTGGCTGGTAGACGCTTGTTCGGGCTTCCAACGAGTCGCATTTAAATTGCTCTCACAGAAAACCAGCCCTTTCCCGGCATTTCCAACGAAGCTCTCCCTGCTCCCGAGCACGGCCCCCGCCAGGGACCCCGGCTCTCAAACACAGGGTTTCTTGAAATTGTTTGCACAACCTCGGCAACGGCAGCTGTAGAAGAACTAAATACAGAAAACTTGTTTTTAAACACCGATAAACACAGGAAAACATAAAAACGCAGGAGCTAACTGCAACGCCAGGCGGGAAATTTCTTTTCTCGGCAGCGGGAAAGGAACCCGTCGGAGTTGAAAAGTGTTTAGTACACAGCCTCGGGACAACAGGTCTGCTCGGAAAAGCCGGCTATTTTCACTCAATATAGCTCCTGGCACGGCGAAGTCGCGAGCCCGCGCCAAGTGGCGGGGGGCCAGAGGAGCGAACTGGGCAGCAAAACAGCATCTCGCGAAAGCTAACCAAAATGTAACGCTGCTGCAGGCAGCGCCGAGCTGGTTGGGTTTTTTTCTTTTTCTTCTTTTTTTTTTTTTTTTTTAAAAAAAAAAAAAATCCATTTCACGTCGCTCCTGGAGAATTTGCTGCTCTTTTCAACGGCCGGGGGAATCGGGGGAGTTCGCATCTCTGGTCAACACTTCGGAGGTTGTGCAACCTCTCGTCGAGCCCAGCCAGGTCTGGTTCGGAGGGGACACACCTTGGGGAGGCACTTCTATTCGCAGTGTGCGGTCACGCCGTGCACGCCCCCGGCGAGGCAGGCAGAGTAATCCGTACAGACTTCCAGTTACGCCAGAGAAGTCATCTCGAAAGAAACTGCATTCCCCAAATCCTTCCCCGAATGTTTTGCTCGTATCAAGGCGGGGGAAAGGCCAAGAGGCCCCCTAGAAGTATTTAAACCAACATATTTCTCTGCGCACGGTTGTTAGGAGCAAGCCCCGAAAGCTCAACACGAAAGATAAATGGATTCAAGAGCACGAGGGATCTTCCCCGCAACCGTCGCTCGAGCGGCGAGGTCGGCGACAGCTCTTCTGCACGTCTGAAGAAGTCCACCAGCATCAAGAGGCTTCCTCTGCATCCAGCACCGTGACTCTCACGGGGTCCAGTTTTGCCCCGCGGCTGGTTTTGCTACGGAGCATCTGTTTGTCCCAGCAGAGATCAGGAACCCGCGCACCAAGGTGCACGGTCGGTAAAAACACCGTCGTTTCTTCTCACAGGAACCATCTGAATAGATCGCGGCATTAGGAAGGCGCAAAGACGGTGCTCCTCCCAGCCCGAAGACGAGGGCTGACTCATAGAAAAGCCAAATGGCTCCCCTAAGGCTACCAGGGAATCCAGTGCCGTAATTACAAGGCCATCCCCTCCGCGTGACGAAGGGAGCGTTCCCAGGGATGACTCGGCCTCGTGCTCCTCGGGCTGACGCGACGGATCCAACACGAACACCCACCACGACCTCCGTGCAGTGACTGCAGGCCACCGGGGGTTTTTCCCCCCTGCTGAATCACCGGTGGAGGCGAAGGAGCAGGATCACCACCTAGAAGCGGGTTAAAAAAAAAAAAAACCCAAACAACAGAGAGACCGAAAGAGAAGAGCAGGTAGAAAAAGCGGCATCTACGCTGAAGCAAGCTCATTTCATCTATCGAAAATGAGATAATTCATCCGCGGTTTCCTTATCTAATCCAGAACCCATCTCTGATGAAAACAATACCTGCAGAAAACATTTCTGTCTCAGGACCTGGCGGCGACAAGAGCCTGTTCGAGTGCATTTACACATCGGTAGCTACCTTCTCCCCCGTTTCGGGAAGGATGGGAATCGAAGGCTTCCAACCAACCCTGCTATCGGCTCTGCCTGCCGAAACGACGCAACCCGCGGCAGCGCGCATCTCGCCGAGAGCTTGGTCATCCTCCTCTTGGCAGTCGGGGACACCTCCCTCCGGAGCACAGGCTCAGCCTCCCGGTCGCGCTGCCGAGGATGACAGCGGAGGGGCCGAAGGCATCGCAGCAGTGGTCCCGTGCCGCAGGCAGCGATCCGTCAGGAAGAGAACCGGCAAGAGCACAGCACCCGACTTCCGAGAACGTTTCGCCTGCCTTTTGAAGCCGCAGACGTAAGCTCGTCTCTCCTGCTAAGGGAACCAGTCCAGCCAATGACTTACGGGCCAAAATATTTGCAAGGCAGGTAAGACGGGGGGGGGGGTACGCGTACACACGTGCCTCTGCTCACGCACGGGCTAAACTCAGGCCGAAAAGCTTCTCAAAACCCGGGTGATGCATTACCAAGGCACCCATCTCTTTGACTGCCCGCTCCGAGACGCGGGACGCTTACGCCCCAAGAACGAGGAACCCGTTTGCTGTTCCCGCAGCAAAGCAAGCACGCTGATCTCAACTCAGCAGTTTTTAATAGTCCACCCACAGGTGTTTATTAAATATCAGTCTGAAGTGCGAAGCAGGAGGTTTCTTGCCAATAGGCCAGGGGGGGACTTTGGAAGGCGTGCTTGGCACCGCGTCCCTGACCCCGGGGAGAAAGCCTGACCTCGGAGCCAAGGCAAAGCCATCAAACCCAGGGGTTTCTTTCAGTTCTTCCTGATTTTTTTTTTCCCAGTAGCCTCAGGCAAGGCACCGCCGACTGCTCCTCCATGTGTGCAATGAGAAAAACCACTCTCTGTCTTCAAAATGTATCGCAAGGCTTAATCCATTTAGGTTTGTAACAAAGAACGCCGAGGTTGTGGCAAGGGCCAAGTTTTTCAGCTCCACCAAGACCTTTTCATACAACTCAGGACGTTAAAAGCTTTCCAAGAGGACGCCGTTACAATTTACAGCCACTTTAAAGCGCGCTTGCTCTGCCCACAGTGGTGTAAAGGGATCTCTGGATAGAAGGAGGAGAGTATCTGAACATTTATTGGTCTATAAAATATTTGCTTAATCCCCTAAGGACAGCACATACTAAATTAGTAACAGGAGTCACCGTAGATCACAGCATCACGCTCAAACCCCTACTTCGAACTAAGCTTGGAATATTTTATATATGCAGTACAGCCCTTTAATAAAGATAAACACCCACTTACAACAAACCCACATACATAATGCTGAACATACAGTTAACGTTAAGTAATTGATTTTTTTTTTTTTTAGAAATTTTGAAGACTAAATGGTGTAGATACACTTTAGATAGTGTTAGATACACTTTAGTCTTCAAAATTTCTAAAAGAAAAAAAATCAATTACTTAATGTTAACATGGTCTCGGCAGGCCAGGAAGCATCCCCAGCACACGGGTGAAAAAGCGCAGCCACCCCTCGTTCCCTCACCCGGAGCCCGTGCTGAACCGCAGCAATCCAATACCCCCGGCTCCGCTCAGCCGCGGATCCGTATGTTTCATTCGCATCAGACACGACGGCTTCGCCACCGACGAACAGCAACACTGCCGTAACGCGATCGCTTGGATCAAGTGTTCATTTCCAAAACATGAGAATACTTATTACAGGAACACTCGAGCAGGAGAGGGCTAAAATTTGACATTAAGAATATATGTTATCTCTGAAGGAATAGTTTTCTAGGTACGTGCCTCGGTGACAGAAACAAAGGAGAGGCGTAAAGGCTCCCGAGATCGTGCCTGGCGTCCTTCTGCCCCCCCCCCGCCCCATGTAAGCTGTCCCGGTAACGTGTATTAGTTTTTCTCTGCCGGCACAGAGGTCCCATTCATTCACCAGCTAAATCTTATTTACAGATCACCTAGCAACTATTCAGGAGGAAAACAGCGTGTTGGAAAACAAATCCATCTGCACTCGTAAGGTGGTTCCTCTCCAGGCAAGCAGAGAGCCAGCAGACGAGTTTTCCTGCGTCGAAGCAGCGTATAAAACGCATCATCAATCTAAAAATGTTTGTAATGGCTTCTAACGTTTGTCAGTGGTGACGAGCTACTGTTTGTGTTAGTCAGGAATTTCTTTCCCCCCCCCCCTCCTCTCCGTAAGGCTGACGGGATGGTGCAGGGTGCAGGGAAGCTCAGGGGGTGAGATAATGCAGCTTTTCCCCCCACATTCAGCTGCACGAGCGATGACGCCATCCACGATTTATTTACGCATTCGGTGTCTGCAGGCAAAGCCAAGCAGACTCTTACTCAACTCTCGCACCACGCTATAAAAAGGGACGAAATAATACCTCTCGGATCCGCGCCCTCGCAATGGGCTCGCTTCTCTGCCGCCTCAGGCTCGTGCCCGTTGGTACCGCTGCGAAACTGCCCCCGCCGCACCGGATTAGCATTAAAAAAAAACAAAACCCCCCAAACAAACAACAAAGCACTCACCGGCCTGCTCCAGAGCCACCAGCATCGACTGCTCGATGAGGTCTCGCTCGATGAAGCTGCGGAAGTCCTCGGTGTACACGGTGAGGTCGGGCAGCTGGAAGGTGCAGATGGGCATCTCCAGCAGATGTTCGCTGCTGCCGTTGCTGGAGACGTGGGAACGGGCCAGGGAGACAATGGTCGAGCTGGCGTGGGAAATGCCTCGAGACAGGCGTTTTTCTGAGAGCAAAAGGAAGACGAAAAAACTCCTGAATGGTGCAGGAGCAGCAAACCTCGCCGAAGCAATTATTAAATCGCTGCCTTCAGCTAGTATTTTTTGGTTGCGAGCGGCCGGATTGCTCCGGCAGATATAAATATTTCAGGCGGCAGAAAGAAAGATTTAATTGATCCGTATCATTTTTGTGACTCGGCTATCTGGAAGCCGCCAGACGACACTGACCTTGCACAATATCATCCTGCCGCTGGAGCGGCGGGGGGGGGGCGGGGCGGGGCCGGGGGCGGGGGGTTTATAGTTGCGTCCTTCGTTGAAGGAATGGGGTAGGTTGCCGGCATGCACTTGCCTTAGCTGTTCAAAGTCACTCAGGGCTGCGCTCAGATCCCAGTTCTTGCCTGGATGGGAAGGTATCGATAGTGGTCACCGTCACATGAGAAAGAAATCAAGTCAGTTCCTAAAACATCCGCACTAGAAACTAATAATAGTGCAGTTTATCGTGAAGCATGAAGGCTGTCTAGCAGAAACAAGGCGGAAAGCAGGGTGCCGCACCACTCGTTCAGCTGGTCGCTCTATTTTTGTCCAGGATTTGCATTTCTGGAAGAGACGTGACCGTGAACCTGAAGTGCCCAGAAAGCGTTGGCCCTACTGCCACAGGTTACGTGGATGATTTACACCCCGTGTGTGCAGAGACGCATCCAGAGCTTAGAGAGAGCTACTGCTCTTGGATGCTGGACATCTGCAAAACCTAAACAAAGGTCCAAAGACCTCCAGTTTTCATAGAATCACAGAAGGGTTTGGGTGGGAAGGGACCTCTAAAGGTCACCTAGTCCAACCCCCCCGCCACGGGCAGGGACATCTTCAACTAGATCAGGTCGCTCACAGCCCCGGCCAACCTGACCTTGAACATCTCCGGGGATGGGGCATCCACCCCCTCTCTGGGCAACCCATGCCGGTGTCTCACCACCCTCAGCGTAACGAATTTCTTCCCGATATCTAGTCTGAGAGATAATTTTGCCAGAACAAGATTCCTGGCTGTAAAATGAAGAAGGGCAGGGTCACCGTAACAGCAAACACTGAGCACAGAGCACGGGACTGGAGTAAAATAAACACGACTGCGCCCTTAGGAAAGGGAAAGGGAAGGTCAGGCGGTGTCATGTCCACCAACATCTATATAAACCCAACGGCCAATTGCTTCGGGTCACGCCGAGCGCTTTGTTTTATAACTCTCCAGCTGCCGTGAAGATAATCCATCGCGATGCCGGCACCGCTTCTTTGCTGACAAAGTTAACAGCCTCCAGCTCCCTTTACCCTCGCATCATCGCAGGGTAACGCTCGAGCAAAAACACGCAACTTTTTAAAAGCTGATGACTTCTAATACGACTTTCTAAACCTCTCTGCACGGTTTCAGAGAGACAGCCACCCGATTCTTTCCGAGCTGACACCCAAAATGTAAAAGCAAGCAAGGTGCCAGCCGGGCGAGGCGGTATCCAGACGACTTTTCAGCAGGCTCGTGTCATTACTGGCCAGATCAATTATCCAGCAGAACAGCCTGAGCTTCGTGGAGTTGAGTGAATCCTTAAAGCAGGTCCATTTCCTTTTAACGCTACCCAGCAAGCTGCAAGAACGTGACATATATTAACACGCTGAAGTCTTTCAGTGTGCAATAAATTGACCTTTTAGAAGCCACTGTCTTCCAAAGGCGAGAATACATAGCAAAGAAGAAAAAAAAAAAAGGTCTACCATATGGCTTACGTTTGGGAAAATTGTGATTTTTTTTTAATTTTTTTTTATGAACACTGTTCATCTAGGCTCTTAAATTAGCAAGTTAGCAGACACCGTAGAAAGAAAGCCAACTTTATATATAGTAACTCCACTACAGGAAAGATATAAACCGCTGATTGGTTTATGCGATGCTCATGGACAATAAAAGAAGTCATTATGTCTAATTCCCTAAAGGAAATACGCTTCGTAAGTATTTAAATTCTTCTGAGAGATGTAATTTGCAGCATTTAATGACTGACTCCAAGCGGAAAGTTATTTTCAGCTTTACCTTTTGAGTCAAGGGGACTTTTTTTTGTTGTTTCTTTTTTAAATGAAATAACAAATCAGTATCAAGGACTGAGAATGACCCATCAGATTAAAATTAAATCTGCTGTCGCATCACTATTTGCTTTAACGCGTCAGCAACGGGAGGAGACGCTACCGGCGCTGACCCCTTGCAGCTGCATCTCCCAACCATCTTCACCAGCAGCCACTTCAGAAATGGGAAAAAAAAAACAAAACCCCAAAAACCCACAAAAACCTTAAACTTTGGAAACTCTATGCGAAACGATGGCAGCCGAAGGGACTCGTAAATCCCAGTATCACGAGACGGCCCAGTTACCTGCACGCGCCTGGAAAGGGTGTGTTTGAGATGGACTCGGGCACTCCGGTGCTTTTCTGCAAGCACGGGAGAGGCTGTTAGAGGCGTTCAGGGAAACTTTTGCAGCGAGCAGGTTTCGCTGGTGCTTGGACGATAAAAGGGAGGTTCCCTCCTCCGGCAGGAAAACCGGTGTCCCCCGGGGACACCCCGAGCCAGAAGTTCAACCCCAGGGAGACCCGGAGCCCGCCTTCCGCGTGACGCTACAGCTCTCGTTGCCAGAACGCGGGATGATTTCAAAGAGCAGAACCTAAATAAATCTCGCCAATTACTACGTTCCCTTCTCCCCCCAGTTCTTTAGCCTCGTGCGCGTTTGCACGCTGCAATCCTTTGCCGTCGAGGTGATGGGTTTCCAACGGCGCTGGAGAGCGGAATGAGGGAGAAGACCACCATTCAGAAGAGCTGCCGTTGCCGCCAGGCAGCGACTTCGCTTGCCACATGCACGAAACTCAAAACGCCGGCAGAAAACCGTGACTTAAACCGCTCCTATCGCCCTCAAACTTCACATCCGAATAATTCGCTTTACACATCTATTTTATCTGACTGCTTTCACTAATACCCACCCCAAAAAGAAAGATCTCTGTGTTTTTCCCCTCATTTTCACCCCAGCTCCGCCGAGGCTGCAGGAGAAATAGCAGCGACTCAGCGGCACGTCATGAAAATGAGCTAAAGCTACCGTTGTCAAAATAAATCAACCTATGTGCTGAGCGGGAGACGGAGAGTTTTAAGGAATATCTGCTTTAACCTTTTCTATCGCAAGCCTAAATATTTCTTCCGAAAGATAGCATTAGAAATTCTGACATGAAACGAAGCAACCTAAACCCAGAAAACAGAACATAAACACACCACAAAACCCACAACTTGCCAGACTTCCGCTGAGACGACGCTCGGCTGTAAAAATTGAAGGCTGAAGCCCTGAACCCGGCAAAGCTAACGGGAGTTTTGAAGAGGAAAAAGCTACGAATCGATGCTGCGAGCGCCGAGGAGAGCTAGAGCCCGAGGAGGTGGAGCAAATTGCCTAAAGACACAGATTCTAGCAACAATTTCAGGGCTTTGAATTCATTGCTGCTAGAGCATGCGGAGCGGCAGCAGCCGGGGAGCTGGTGCGGATGCTGGAGGAGCATCGGCTTAGTCCTGGGTCCAAGCAACAACAAAAATGACCCGTATTAGACAAGAAAAGGGATGATAGGAAGAAACACAGCAAGTATGGTCTTGCGTTATAATTACAGGTTGGCTAACGACGTACAAACTGCCCCGCTTCTCATGCAACGTTCCTGTCCTCCAGCATTACAACACGTGCCAGGATTTACTCACCATCCTTTTGTCAACATCAACCCAAGGGCAACGCTCGCGAGCAAGTTTACAGCCCCCAAATTAAGACCTGGTATCCTTTCTCCTCTACCCTGCCCATCGCTCTAAGTACAGGGTGGAAAAAAAAATTACCCGCAGCCTTCAACTAAGCGCGATCGCTAACGAGCAACTCCTCCATCTTACGGAGTTTTTGAGAAAGCCGATATCACGCTATATTTTTAGGGCAAATACACATGCTCTTTTAAGTACGTAGAGCACCAGAAAGCTGCCAGCGTGGCGCGCTGAGGCTCTCAAGGGCTGGCGTGCCCGTTTAAAAGCAAACTGGCTGAAGGCAGACGATGCTCGCGTTCAAGTCCTGAGCATCTCGGCACTCTCCATCGCCTTAAACCGACCGATCCTGTTCGGTCGGCAGCCTCCTGCGCCGGGCATAAACGGGGCTCTAAGGGGATGCTCTGCCAGGAGAGGTCACTGGCACCGACAAAACAGCAATTTATATCAGCATAATCAAACCACCTTCACAAGCAGAACAAGATATACCAGTAGCAGCACGGTTTTGCCTATATAATTACCCCTACATTGCTTTGAAAACACAGGCAGCCTTCGCCTAGTGCTATTCCTTCGACCCTTTCGAAGGCATCGCTGCTATAAAGAAGAAAAAAAGAAAAACCCAACCAAAACCCTTAAGTTTTGCTGCTTGCGGCGAGCCACACACGTGAACGGAGAGGACGAAGGAAGGGAAACCGCGCTCCTGGGCGATGCGTTCTCCTTCCGAACATCTGAAATTCATTATCCGATGGACGCGTAACAAGAAACCAAGGCAGAATTTCACCAGCCGCGCCGCCGAGGGCACGGTTTTAATATCTCCAGCATCGCATTCAGCAACCGCCAGCCCCGGGGGTCTGGCCGGCAGCTCCCTGCCCCTCTTGCAACCCCCTTTTCCACACCAGCCCCCCGTCAGCCGCCGCCTGGCTCTCCCCTTCTTTTATTCCCGGTTTCATTTACCTTCGAGGAGGTCTCTGGCCAGTCCCGGCTCTGCCCCCGTCGAGCGAACAAAATCCGACAGGACGGTGTCCATAGCCGAGGTCGTGCGCTCATGGATTCCTCCCGGCAGCTGGGGTCGGCGGCGCCCGGATCAGCACCTCGGCATCAATCTAGGAACGAGACCAACAACGCGCGCAGCTCGCATTACAGAGTATAAAATAATTAGCCTGGCCAGGCAGCCTCCGAGCTGGCCGGGAACTATCCGATGGCAGGTGCCTCGGTGTCCCCTGAGGAGGGGGGAAAATAAACCTCCCCCGCCAAAATTCATTGTGCTTTGGGACTGCTGTTTAACTAATTGATAATTGGGAGGAAAAAATTAAAAAAATATACAATTTTTGCCGCTCCCTCCCCGCACGCGAGCGGGTTGTAACGACTCCGCTAACGACGGGCACACCAAGGGCTTCGCAAATTCAGGAAAAATACCAGTTCTCATGTCAAAGGCGGCGGAGCTTTTCTTTCCAAAATCGTGGACGAGTAGCTGGGAGAATAAATGAGTTTATCTGGTAGCAGCGAGAGCGCAGAAAGTTTCTCTCATATATTTGCAGAGAGCTCAGCGTCCCTGCCCTGTCCGGGGCGGGCAGTCCTCCTCCGAGCACCCTGGTTGTGCGCAAGGGGAATAAAAGCAAGACCAAACCGCTGGAACGAGTAGATGTTGCCTATGCAAAACAAAACAAAAAGCCCCTTTCAGGGGGAAAAGAAAAAAAAAACCCAAACAAACAACCCACAACTAACCCCCCCTACACACACACACACACCCCCCAAACCACATTTCCTCTTCTCCCAGAAAAAAAAAAAAATCAACGCTCCTTTCTGGGAAGGGGATCCGGACCGGTGCCAAAACCAGCCCGTCCGAAGGTATATTACGTAAATCTTAAGTTTTAGCAGGTCCTAAGATTCAGAAAGGTGTGTGCTCTTGCTGTGCGTTCAAAATCCTGATTTTCTGCATTCCTCGAGGCAGAGACGGAGAGCGGGGCGCATCCGCGGGAGTTCGGACCGGGCAAAAAGCTCCGCGGGATTTTTTTTGGGTTTTTTTTCTTTTTTTTTGGTGCAGTTAAAGGGTTACGATAAAAATTCCACTGTCAAGGAACAGAAACTGCTGGGAAAAAAAAAATTCACCCTGAGCTGAAAACGTGGCACGTGAAGAAGAAGGGGGAAAAAAAAACGTGTAAGGCTGATTGACGGAGGTGTTGCTGTACTGAGAGCAGGAGAGGAAAATTCAGTATTACGTGGAAGATGAACAAACCTGTTTGTTTTCCCCCTGCCTTAAAACCCGTCTCTTTTCAGGATTATTCCTAAAGATGGGCAAAACTCCCTAACAGCACGCAACTCCCAAACCCCAGGAGCAGCAAGTTAAACATCCACGCTTTAATCTGGAATTTCCTGGCTTTGTTGGTTAAATACCATTAGTCTTATCTTCCACGCTCGCTAATCATGCACTTATTAACTTCATGCACGCAGAAAAACTACTTAATATTCTTTTATCGCCGGAGCAATCTCGGGGCTATTGTCGGCTGAAGGCAATCCTAAACCCGAGCGTATTCAGACAGCAAAATTTGGCAGGCGATTCTTGCTCTTGCCCCATCAGTGATGTAGGGAACGTCCCTAATTAGAAGCCAGACATTTGTATCCTCTAACCACTGGCAAGAGCTATAGACCCAGAGAACAGTTTCTAAAGGAAAACTCACTGCAGTAAGAGATAACTTCCTCCTGGTGGGTTCGGCATTTAAAAAAAAATAAATAAATAAAAATAAAAATAAATAAGCGTACGCAGCAAAGCGTGGCTTTTTTGGGAGGGAGAGAGCAGCAGCACAGCCCACACCCGCAAACTGATGGCATTTGCAGCTACCGAGCAGACTCCCGCGCGCTCAAAAATGTCAGGCAAAACACAGATGGAAAACTGCGGGCCTGACGGCCCGGCGACGAACTGTTAGAGAGATTTATCGCTGGGGTTCACACGAAGAAACATTCTCCCCTCTGGGTTGAGCTGTTATTTATTATTTTCTTTCCCGTGCGAGGGAAACGCTCCCTCCTCTTCCCTCCCTCCGTAACAGGTAGGAAATCCAAGCCCCAAAGAGATCTGCAACCACAAACGTAGCCCTTGCTGGATGATACGGGTGTCAAGCACACCCAAATCCCCCCCCGTACGTGTACGTACATACGTGGGCGGGTAGGATGCTATCGCGACCGCTGCCAGTGCTGGATGTAATCCGTAAGCGAGCTTTCCCCACACATTCGCACGTTTCTATTTGCAAAGAAAATGCACTTCGGACTACAAAAACCCAGTCGTTTCTACGACCTCTGCAATACCAACGGTTACTTGCAGGGCACGCCGGCGGGAATTAAGCAAAGTCAACGGTGAATAGCCGCGATTTAACCGTCACGAGCAATCCAGCCTCTCCTCTCCAGCCAAAGTCCACGCGGTGGCCAGCATCGCCGTCGCGTGAACTTCACCCCAAACCCCCCAGGGTGCCAGTTTTCCCTCCGGGATTTAATCGGAGCGAGATAAAAAAGGGCAACAGGACGAAGAAAACAAGTCGCCCGAAAATATTGGAGGAACGTCCCCGGTGCCTCTGCCGCGGGTGCCCAGCCCCTGATGCGAAGTGCCTCGCCCTTCACGTTTTCCAGGCTTTTAGGGATGAATTTGCAGGTTTAGCAAAGCGGTTTATCAGATTTTTTTTTTTATTACACAGCTTTGTTACACATCTGAAATACTGCAGAAAGCCATCGTATCCCGCGTTACGGGGTTTTTTCCATTATCGTACAGCCCATTTCTTTAAGCTACCCGAGAAACACTTCATAACCAGCACTTCACAAGGAAACGCTACTTTCTAAATATTTAGATTTTAAGCTATTCTAGGGGGGGGGGGAAAAACCCCCACCCATCAAACGTAACGCTCTGTACACCCGAAGCTTTCGCTGTTTAAGGTTGCGCGCAAAGTAACAGCCGAGTTTTGAGCCCTGCCTCCCGCCGCGATCCACCGCCCTCGCGTAGGAAGGACGGCGTCCAGATTTCCCTCTTTCCGGCAGCGAAGAGCCAAAACCAATTTGCCTTAATTTGCAAAGACTTTAATTAGGACGATTCCCCGCGCATTGCCTGGCTATGGGAGGGAAGCACCCAGAAACACCACCAAGGCGTGCTTCGGAAGATGCCGCTACCCCTAAATTCCTTTCGTTTTCCTCCTAGTAGACGCTCCCCGAGCTCCTCCGAGATATTTCCAAACCTTGCACATCCCTCGAAGCTTTTCTCATTTAATTCCCCCACCGGGCTGCCGAGCGGTAACCACTAACGGTCAGGTTTTGGAAAACCAGCCTCTTTTCCTTAATTGCTTTTTCAGGTACAAAAAGGAGTCGAAAAAGATGTATCTCCACGCTCTTCAGATAATGAAAAATCTTGATTTAAGAAGGGGAAGATGACAGCGTGGAGCATAACGAGCTCTGAACTTACAGAGGGGCGAGGGCTGGCCCGCGCAGACCGGGATCGGCGGGGCTTCGTTATCGGCTCCGAATTAAAACACGCTCTTCAGCGCTTCAAAACAGCGGGCAGGAACGCTTGGCAGCGCTCCTCCCGTTGCGATAAGGTCCTATCATCTCCTTCCCATCGTTTTTCTGGCGAGAAGCAAGACTTCCTTGCTGCTTTTGGCGCTAACGTCGCACCGCAGCCCAAATCACAAACCGCCGCTCTCGCAGGCACCGTAGGGGAAATGCTTTGTGAACTGCTGTCCGGGACGGACGCCATCGCCTATTACGAGCGACCCTAAAGGCGACGTACCTGCGGTACCTTGGCAGTACACATTCAATATTTTATCTAAGAAAAAATGGCAACTAATTCACCGGGGAGCTGTCACGCTTGAGGTTTTCAAAACTTGGGGAGGGGGGGCTGGAAAATAACCCACACCCCCCCAAAAAAAAAATATCGAAACGCCTTCATTTGCAAAATGCAATATTGCTATCGCGCCTCGGGAGCTGGGGATGCAAATGCAGCTCTGCCCCGTAAATCTGGAGGATTTACATCTGGCTTTGGCCTCACGCGAACGAGGTTTCCTAAAAATTTGCATAGAGGACCAGAAGAGACGACCGGGGAAGACGAGCGCCTCCTTCGCGGCGCAATCTGGGGGAAAAAGAAGATTTCTATTCGGATAACCGCACTGCTGGGAAGCGTACCATTGCACATTTTCATTTGCACCCCGTCAGTAAAACTATTTGGCATGGCCGGCGTCGAGCGGCAGCGCAGCAGTGGGTGTTTACGCGGCACCCAGCATATTTCGGTGGTGGTGGGGGGGGAATGCTGCAAAATATATACCCAGCCACATCTCCGGGTTTCCGAGGGACAGAAGCTATCCCATTTCGGCCATCTCCTTGCAAACAAACAGAAGCGAGACCGAGGGACGCAGCGCATTTATTCCCTCTCCCTCCCGTTCAGCTCTACCCAAAAAAATAAAAAAATAAAAATCATTTTCAAGGGAATAAACGCTTTGATTGAAGCGCCGGTTCGGTCGCTGCAGAGCATGGGTTTTCGGGCTTCAGGTCCTTAGTTGCAATCCTAATTTTCTTGGCACAGCGGCTCAGTTAGTTCCTTCCAGCTCGCTCCCCCCTCAGAGTTGTTCTGCAACTTCGTTATCTCCTTATATCCTTTACACTTTCTCTCCCGTGGTTCGCGCCTGCTCAGATCTCGCCGTCAAGCCTCCGAGCTGGTGGGAGGTTGAACGCTCTGACGCAACGCCACAGATGAGGATCATCCCTCTCATCGCAGCCTCCTACAAGAAGCTGCCCTCCGCTAGAAGCTGTAGAGCGTTAAATTCACGGAAGACTTTCATCCCGGCTACTTTGGGTCAAGCTTTTTGAAACCGTAAGAGGTCGTTAGCCCCTCTTCCACTGATGGATTTTGCTAGAGCACGCAGCTTCCCAGACGTTTCAGCGTGCTTTGGTGAAAAACTGGCAAACCTTAGGGGGAACAAACTCAAAACCAAAGCAAAAGGCAGCGCAAGGAAGCTGAATTTAAAATACGGACAGAACGAGCTAAAGAAGGTAGAAGAGGCCAAAGAGGAAAAGCTCAAGAGAAAACAAACCTTCTCCTGGCGTCGGTGGCAGCACCAGCGGCTCAGACG